TCCACTCACCCCAGCCTCCCAAAGGCGCGGGATTACAGGCTGAGCCACCGAGCCCAGCTCAGATTGGAACTCTTATCTATCACAGCAGCTGTCAGCCCAGTCCCAGCTCTCTGTCGCTGCGTCATAAGGACCACATAAGGAGACAGCTCTGGTCCCTGGGTCTCCAGCCACACAGTCCTTGAGGGAGAAGACCCTGTGTCTGCAGGCTGCGACCTTGAGTCAGAAATCATCCATTCCACTCCTCTACTAGACCCTGCTCCAGCAGTGAGGTCACCAGGGCTCCATGCCCAGCCCTGAGGCCTGTCCCTATGGCTTTGGCAGAAATGAGCCCCTCAGTCTTCTGGCAATTGGACTGTCCAAAGGAATCAATACCTTGAGGGAAGAGAGAACTCTTCCTCCCTGGCCTCCTTCCCAGAACAGTCTGGGGAAGGGAGGAAGGCATTTACACATGGAGAAACAGAGGCCCAGGAAGGAGGGCCCGTCACACTATAGCATGTGACAGAGTTGGCTGGCCCCAGGCCTCCTGGCTCCTGTGTGCCCACCCTGGATTGGCCTCTGCTGGCTGACATTCAGTTCAGCTCTACTTCCTTGTGTGCAGGGCCTCCTTCTATCCTGCAGGAATCCACTTATACTTCACTGCCTCTGGGAAGCCTTCCCTTTAGTTTTGTGTTTGGCTCCCCAAAGGTGTGTGACTTGTTCCCTGTTGTCTGTCTCCAAAGCAGGGCCTGGCACAGAGTATGTGGTCTAATAACTAACGAATTAATGAATGGTCTCCTCAGAATTTCAGTTTGTTCATTTGCAAAAAAGGCATAATAATACAGTAACAGCTACTTCATGGATTTTGTTTTAGAAGTTTAATGAGACAGTGTACATAAAGCCCTCAGCATCGCCAGGTGTGGTGGCTCAAGCCTGTAATCCCAGCACTTTGGGAGGCAGAGGCAAGAGGATTGCCTGAGCTAAGAGGTTTGAGAACAGCCTGAGCAATATGGCAAGACTTCATCTCTAAAATAAATTTAAAAGCAAGCTTTCTGCCCGGCCACTGCCAGGCAGCCATCATGGACACTAGCTGTGTGCAGCCTATCAAGCTGGTCAAGGTCACCAAAGTGCAGGACCAGCTCACAAAGACAGTGCACTCAGGTGCGCATGGAATTCATGGACAACACGAGCTGCTCCATCATCCACAAAGTGAAATGCCCGACAAGCTCACCCTGTTGGAGTCTGAGTGAGAGGCTTGGAAGTTGTACTGAGCTTGGCTGCCAGGTCTGGATATTGGGGTCAACAGTCAGGGATGGTCATGGTCTGTGACTGCTAAATAAAGCGTTTGTGTGGTATGTCATAAATACATAAATACGTAAGTCAGTCATGTTGGCACATGCCTGTGGTTCCAGCTACTCGGAAGGCTGAGGTGGAAGGATCACCTGAGCCTGGCAGGTCGAGGCTGCAGTTGCACTCCAGCCTGGGCGGCGACTCCCACTCCAAAAAAAAAGCCCTCAGCATCAATAGAAACTGGGTCTTTTTTTTTTTTTTGAGTAGGAGTCCCAATCTGTTGCCCAGGCCGGACTGCTGTGGCATGACCATGGCTACCGTACCTCGACCTGCTGGGCTCAGGTGATCCTGCCACTTCAGCCTCCTGAGTAGCTGAGACTATAGGTACCTGCTACCATGCCCAGCTTTTTAAATTTACTGTAAAGATGAGGTCTTGCCAAGTTGCCCGGGCTGGTCTTGAACTCCTGGGCTCAAGCAGTTCTCTCTCTTTGGCCTCCCAAAGTGCTGGGATTACAAGTATGAGCCACCAAACCCGGCCAGGTCTAATTTTTATTGAAAGTGTTTTGTAAACCACCAAGCAGTAGGCTCCTTAAAGGAGATGGCAAATACTCTGAAAGTACAGGCTAGCTTGCAGAAGTCAGAGGTGGGGGCCCAGCAGTCAGGCAGGTGGGGGAGTTGACCTTGGGCCTTGAAGAGCTAACCAAACTGGCAGAATTTCTAAAGGAGAGAACAAGTTGAGCAGGAGCTCAGAGGTCAGAAAAGTCCAGGGTGCTTGCATGAGAGGGGTGGCGGGGATGGAGTTGGCTTTCAAGGTGGGGTGGGGCAAGAGGAGGGGCCACCAGGAGACATTCTGCAGGGAAGGGCAAGCACCTGTGAGGCTGGCTTGGCGAAAGGAAGGGTCAGGTATTCACTCAGAACAGAGGGCACAGGGGCAGCTTAGCTGCAGAGCGTGCTCCAGGTGACTGTCCCCGCCGCCAGGCAGTGGGAGTGGCAGGAGAACCCGGGCTCTGAAGCCAGCCAGACTAGGCTTGCAATTGGCTCCATTCACACTCTCCTATTGCTTGTGACCTTGTCAGTTCCCCTCTGACCCTCGGGCTCACTTGTAAAACGAAGACAAAGATGCCCGTGCCAGAACAGTCAACCAGATCTTCTCCCTGGGTGGGAACCAACCCAAGGGCGAGTTTCCTTTCTTCTCTAGTCTCATCTCTGCTCCGACCCCAAGCTCGGGAAGGGACTAGGGGCAGGAGGATTCCCATGGCATGCGTCCGAGCTCTTGCGCCGGTGCACCACCTGCTTCCTTCTCAGATTCCCAAGAGCGCCTAGAGGCCAGGGAAGGGAGCAGGTCCTGCCAACCTGGGTCAGGGATTCCGAGGCCAGGCACTGGCGCTGACGCAGGTTAGCTGGGCACCACTTGGCTGATCCCCTCCCCCAGGAGCAGGCTGGGGGATGGGTGGCCAGGCCCTGGCGGGCGAGCGCCAGCCTGGGGCTTCCTATTTCGGGAGCCGGGGGCGTGGGCCATATCTCCTCATGTGATGCAAGGGCTATTTAAAGCGGCAGCTCCGGCAGGGAGCCGCTGGTCCGGAGTTATTGCGCGACTGATCTATCGCAGCTGTTTTCTCAGCCTCGCCTAGCATCACCATGGTGGACGCTTTCCTGGGCACTTGGAAGCTAGTGGACAGCAAGAATTTCGACGACTACATGAAGTCACTCGGTGAGCAAGTCGCAGAGCTCGGGATGCTGGACTGGGGAGGGGCTGGCCGCGTGCCTAGCCCTGCACGGCGCGCCTGCTGCATCTCTGCTGGAAGAGGTTGCAGAGTAGGGGCAGCTTGGGCTAGAGCAGGCAGGGCCTGTTGGGACAGGGCTTCCATGGTTCGAACCATGAGAGAAGGGAGAGGGATACCAAGGTAGGGAGGCACTTTAAGGAAACAGGGGCAGTGATCTGAAGGTAGAAGACTTTGGATAAAAGGAAAGCAATGATCACAGGAGGTGGGAGGTTAGCCAGGAGAGAAAAAAGAACAGAGGCATGGCTGGTTTAGAAACTGGAAGAGGTGCCAGGCGTGGTGGCTCACGCCTGTAATTCCAGTTACTTGAAAGGCTGAGGCGGAAGGATCACCTGAGCCCAGCAGGTGGAGATTGTGGTGGCTGTGAGCGTGCCACTCCACTCCAGCCTGGGCGACAGTGAGATGCCGACTTGAAAAAAAAGAAAAAAGAAAAAAAGAAACTGGAGGAGAGGCCCAGAAAAGGAATGGGGAAGACAGAGAGTGGACTGTGGTCTTTTATTTTTTTGAGTCAGAGTTTCACTCTGTTGCCCAGGCTGGAGTTCAGTGGTACATTCACCGGCACCGCAACCTCAACCTGCTGGGCTCAGGTGATCCTTCCGTCTCAGCCTTCCAAGTAGCTGGAACCACAGGTGTGCACCACCATGCCTGGCTAATTTTTTGATTTATTGTAGAGAGGAGGTCTCACCATGTTGTCCAGGCTGTTCTCGAACCCGTGGGTTCAGGCAATCCTCTCACCTCTGCCTCCCAAAATGCTGGGATTACAGGCATGAGCCACCATGCTTGGCGGACTGTGGTCTTAAACTAGGAAATACCTAGGAGAAAGGAGATTGAGGGGGGAAATTGTGAATCAGATACCAGGAGGAGGTGAGACAGGCACCAGCAGTTTGCAAGTCCTGCCCCTCCACTTTGGGTTAGGGAAAAGGGTTGTTGCTAGAGAATAATTTCTCTCACCTGCCAATATGATCTTGTCCTGAGTCGTATGTAACCAGGACTTAATAAAGTCAGTGAGCCTAGCGGTAGGGTGGGGCAAAAGGCCCACCAGCTGAGCCTTTCCTACAACTCAAGACTCCCACTTGTGCCAGGGGTAGGATGGAGAAAGTCACTGAACTTCTGGGGTATGGTAGAGGGTCCCAGAGCAAGGTTAAGACCTGTTAAAGGCAGAGATGGTTATTGGTCTAGGAGGGTGTGGATGACTGTTGTGGGGTTGTGATGGGGAAAAATATTCAAAGAACCTTGCAGGTGAGGATCTTGGAGATCACCATACCTTGTCTAGTTTGACAGAGAGAAAAATTGAAAGGAGAGTAGAAACTTGTCATATTTCACAGCAGAGCAGATATGAAAGCCTAAGCTTTCCAGATCTGTAACCCAGAGCTCTTCCCATTACCTTATAAGCCCTGGGAGTGGGAAGAATGGTAGAACTGCTTAGCTAATGATTGGCCTCAGTCCTTCCTCTGCTGGTTTGGGCTTAGATGGAGAGGCCAAAGCTCTCAACTGTCCCTACCCTATCCTGGGCACTATGCCCAGTGACTGCAGGTAGACAGCCATTCTTAGAGAAGCAGTTGCTGTGAAGTTGGAATGCCCAGTTTTAATTCCTCCTTCTAAAGCTGGGCCAAAGAGCTGAGACCCTGAACTGAGCCGTAACAACCTTACCACTCTTGCTCCCTTATTCTGCCTCAACTCGAACTAGGGGTTTGGTCTCCCTAAAGACCTGTCATCTCTGGGTAGCTTAGGCTAGGGGTTAAAATTCCATCTAGTCCGTTTTTCTTACTGCATAGGTGGTAAGTCTGAGGCCCTCGAAAGAAAGCCCTTCCTCAGTGCTCAGTAATTAGCAGTGGCTTCATTTCTGAGTAGAACCCAGCTCTTCCTGAGTCTCCCCAATTCTGAGCCCAGTCTTCTTAGTTTCTCTTGGCTCAGTCTCTCACTCATCCCACAGTGGTTCCCTTCCCAAACACTCCACACTCTGGGATAGGTCCTAAGCAAACAGAGCTTCTGGGTGCAATGACAAGGCCCTGCTCTGTTCTGAGAAATATGATTGACCTGACTCACTCTGATACCAGGGGTCAAGGTCAAGTCTGCACTGGCCAGGCAGGGTAGGCTGGCATCAGTACAGCTGCAGAGGGAGCTCTTGCCCTCCCTGCTCTAGATCAAGGGTTCTAAAGAGGGCCAGCCTAGTATCACTGAACAGGCACAACTGGTGGCCTTGGTGTCTGGATGAGGTATGTGTTGGTCAGACTGGTCCAGTGGAAATAGCGAACAATTCTGGAGCCTAGATTCAAATCTAGGTCAACAGCTTACTCTTTGACTTTAGACAAGACACTTCGCCCTCTGAGTCTTATCTATGAATTGGGGATAATACAATGTACCCTTCAGGGCTGTTACAAGCATTAAGTAGGGCATATGCAAAGTACCTAGCTTCCAGCAAGTGCTTTGTAGCCAGACACATCTGGAGACTACTTACCTCACCACACTGGGCTGCCACTGCCTCGCCTTTGCCTTGGAGGAGTTTAGCATGGGCCACTGACGGCATAATGAGTTTTGTTCATTTGCTTGTAGGACACTTAGGACTTTGCCCAGTACACGAGGAAGTCATAGTTGGGTCAGGAGGAGACCCCCAAAGATCCTAAGACTGAGAGTCAAGAGACCTGCGCTTGAGTCTTAACTCATCGCTACCACTTTAGGCACCTCCTAAATCTGTAAAATGGGAGTTACTTCCTCTGTACCTACTTCCTAGATCACAGATAAGAGGCTTTAAAATGTCAGGTTGCCACATATTAGGGACAAGAGCACTAATGCTTCTTAGGTTTCAGGGTTAAAAACTTCCAAAAGTGGTAAACTCTTGATCCTAAGGCTTTGAAAGGCAAAGGCCACATTTCTCTTTCTTCAGCCCTGGCTTGATGACTGCTAATATGCCCTGGACACTCCAGCCTCAGGGGGAGGTATGGCTGAGCAGCTAAGTGAGCTCTGGAGTCAAACAGTTCTGGGCTTCAATCTCAGATGTGTGACCCCTGGGCTTTTTCTTTTTTTGAGTCGAGTCTCACTTTGTCGCCCAGGCTGTAGTGCAGTGGCATGGTTATAGCTACTGCAGCCTCAACCTTTCGCCTCAGCCTTCTAAGTAGTGGAACTACAGGCACGTGCCAACATGCCAGCTAAATTTTTTTTTTGAATTTATTGTAGAGACCTGGTCTTGCCAAATTGCCCAGGCTGGTCTCGAACCCCTGGGCTCTCAGGCAATCCTTTCACCTCAGCCTCCCAAAGTGCTGGGACTATAGAGCCACCCAGCTCTTGGATTTTTTTTTGAGTCGGAGTCTCACTCTGTCACCCAGGCTGGAGTGTGGTGGCACACTGCTCACAGTCACCACAGCCTCGACCTGCTGGGCTCAGGCAATCCTTCTGCCTCACCCTTCCAAGTAGCCGGAACTACCCACCACACCCAGCTAATTTTTTGATCTATTGTAGAGACAAGATCTCACCATGTTGCCCAGGCTGGTCTCGAACCCACAGGCTCAGGCAATACTCTCGCCTCAGCCTCCCAAGATGCTGGGATTATAGGCATGAGCCACTGCGCCCGGCTAGCTCTTAGATTTTAACTCTGTTTTTGCATCTAGAAAGTGCAGACAACAGTCTTCAGAGAGATGGGAAGGACTAAATAAGATAACATATGTATAGTTCTTACTATACAAAAAGCACTTAATATTAGCTTATTCTAATCCCAGCTCTACCAATGATTTGCTATGGCACTGCTGTTCCTTAAGTTTCTCATCTATGCAATGTGATCAGTAGTCCTCAGTCACCACACAGAACTAAGGAGAAAATGGAATTTAAAAATTGCCATGCAAAGGCCTTGAAAGCTGCAGTCCTCCTCTTCCCCATACCTAGGTCCAAGGGATATTCATTGAGCTCCTTGTATACTGCCTCTCTGCTCCAGCTCATATACTTTTAACTTTCTCCCGTCTTCAGGTGTGGGTTTTGCTACCAGACAGGTGGCCTGCATGACCAAGCCTACCACAATCATCCAAAAGGATGGGGACACGATCATCTTAAAAACACAGAGCACCTTCAAGAATACAGAGATCAGCTTTAAGTTGGGGGTGGAATTCGATGAGACAACAGCAGATGACAGGAAGGTCAAGGTGAGTCAGGGAAAGGAGTGTCGAGAACGGAGGGTGCTAAGATCCTAAAGGGGAATAGGTTTGGTAGTCTTGGCTCTCTCATATTGCAGCCTGAGGAGCAGACTATTATGAAGGATTTAAATAAAACAAGGCTTATAAAACCTGTGTAGTTCTGGAGTGCCACAGGTGCCAATTACATGTTAGTTCTGTTCTCTTGGTTTTCTTCCCCCTTCCCTTCTTGGGAATCATTTATTAGCTGCCTCAGAAATGGCAGAACAGAGCCAGGACGTTCTTCTGACCTCAGTGTCCACTCCAACTCTAGCTGGGTGACCTTGTGCAAGGTACACAACAGCTTTGGAATTCTTTCCCCTTCCATACATGGGGGAGTTATGTGGCCATGCCTTTGACCTGAAGTGCTTTAGGAACCATGCCCAGAAGTCAGAGCCCTCCACTGAGTGAGGTCATCTTGGCCTCCAGCAGCCAAACAGGCAGCTGAGACTGAGACCTACTCAGATGCTGCTGCTGCTTCAACCTCCAACTTCCAAGCTTGGCCCATGACCCTGACAAACTACTTTCAGTGTTGCCAGCCAAGAGGCAGGAAGAGCTATGTTCCAGGATGGGATGTTCACATTGTCATGCATGTGTTTGCAATATCTCCCACCAAGCCTCAGTCCCCTCTCAGGGCTCTGTCAGCCTGCAGTAGCTTTGCCTCAGCAGCTTGCCTCAGGCCTTCCAGCACTGGGCCAGGCATGGGAGACAGCTTATGGGATATACCTCTACAGGGTGTCCCTACAGCGAGCGGTATTCTTTCCATTCTGATGGTATCATTCATACCCTCAGCTGTTTCCTCTTCTTCACAGCTGTCTCCAGAAAGGACAGGGTAAGGTCTGGTCTCCCTGCAGAGGAGGAGGAGCTGAAGTCCAGCCCAGGATCACACAGGAGGCTGGTAGCAGAGCTGGGATGGTGCCCAAAGATGGCAGTCTACCTTGGACAAAGGTGGCTGCCCTACCACACGCCTCTACCTCCTTGGACTTGCCCATCTTCTCAAGAGGCAAGAACCCCAATTAAAAACAACAGTAGTCCTCTGGGATACCTAAGCCGAAAATAATCAGCTTTGAGTGGGCAAAAATCTGGGGGAATGAGAATGAGTGAGGTGGTGATAAGGACAGCACACCAAGAGACAGGCTCCATCCTCCCTACCTTCCAAACAGTACACACCTTCCTATTGAGCCCTGCTTAATGAGGATCCCTTAGCCTAGAGCCCCCAAATTCCTGGAAAAGAGAGACCTGTTAAATGAGAACCAGCTGATATAGGCTGGCAGCACCCAGAGGACTAAGCAGACATATGACCCAGGGCTAAGAACTACACCAAGGGCACCAAGTTCCAGGACTTTGCCGTTGCTGCTCTCTTGTCAGCCGAAGAAATCACGATCAAGAAGAGGTATAAGAATATAGGGCAGGAAGTCTAATTTTCCAATACCTTCCATCACTAGAGTCTTTTAGGCATTATGTATGATGATGACAAGGCTGTAGAAAGATTTTTAGAATCACTCCTCCTCCTATTCCTCAGCCAGTCTTTCCTAGGGATAAAGACTGGTACATGCCCCCTGTATCTGAGGGGAATAGGCATCACATGTGTTATAGATAAGTATCCATCTTGAACGCCTGTGGCGCTTCTCAGAGCCAGACTGTTTAGCTCCACCATGCTGCCTGCCTTGCTCTCCCTACTAATACCTGAAGGCCCCTCCTCCAACAAGGCAGTAGTGGAGTAGAGGCTGGAGGTGAACTAGACATCCAGCAGGGATAGGTGAGAGGTGTACTGCCTGAGCTCTGGTCCTAGCACCATTCCTAGTTTGTCAGAGGCTGCCTCCTCTGTGGCCTCAGTATTCAAACTCCATCTTGCTCCTCAATCCTGACTCAGATCACAGCTCAGGGCTCTATCCTCTTTCTACAGTCCATTGTGACCCTGGATGGAAGCAAACTTATTCACCTGCAGAAGTGGGATGGGCAAGAGACGACGCTTGTGCGGGAGATAATTGATGGGAAACTCATTCTGGTAAGTTGGGGAACTTTGCAGCCATATCTGATTGGTTATTACTCCTGCCACTTCAGCCAAACTTGTTTTTTTTTTTGAGTTGGAGTCTCACTCTGTCGCCCAGACTGGAGTACAGTGGCACACTCCTGGCCACCGCAGCCTTGACCTGCTGGGCTCCACGATCCTTCTGCCTCAGCCTTCCAAGTAGCCGGAACTACAGGCACGCACTACCATACCCTGCTAATTTTTTATTTATTGTAGAGATGAGGTATCGCCAAGTTGCCCGGGTGGATCTTGAACTCACGGGCTCAGGCAATCCACTCACCTCGCCCTCCCAAAGTGCTGAGATTACAGGCTGAGCCACCAAGCCCAGCCCAAATGTGTTTTAAAAAGCGAAAATCCTCCCCAGAGTGTTGTAGAAGCTGGGACAAGAGAAGGCGCTGCAGGATCAGGATGGTATTAGTTGGGAATTTTCTGTGTAGTGGCTTTGGACCCAGGGTTCAAATCTCAGCTTATAGGCTACATGACTACATGACTTTGGACAAGTCATCTTCTCCAAGTGCAACTGTAAAACAGGTATTAATAATACCACTCTTGGCAACCCCTTCGGGTCCCTTCCCACTGTGGGAGCTTCTCTTTCCTCTCAATAAATCCTGCTTAAAAAAACAAAAAACAAAAACACCCTTGCAGGGCTGTGGGGAGTCTGAAAGAGACAGCGTATGCACAGCATGAAGCATCATCAACTGAGGTGGAAGGAATACAGTAGGTGCTCCAAGTTCTTAGTTTCCTCCTTCTGTGTTTCCACCTTACCTCACTCAGGAAGAGGTAGAAAGCAGGGCCAAATCACATCCAGGAACTCTACAAGAGGCTCCCACCTCCAATCTTAGCATTTCTTTCCCTCTCCTCCCTAGGACTGCATTATAACATGCAGGAACAGGCTAGTGACTGGTGAGGGCACTGAATGGCAGCATAGTTCGTTCTTCCCCATTCTAGTTCCATATACTTTCAGTGTTTTCTATGTTTGGCCTACTGCAAGTACTTGACTACTGCCTGGGTAGGCATTAACACCACCAGGCTGGCAGATCTCCATGTTTAGAGATAAGCTTTGGACTTCACTTTCTGAGAATGCAGCCTTGATGGAATTCCTCCCAGACTCAGGGGCAGAGAGAGCAGCCAACTATGGACTCTGCCTCCCAACTCTATAGGGCCCCCCACCTCAGAATTTTCATTGCACACCTTCTTGTGTCAGCATAACCTGTGAACTGCATTCTTACACTAAAACGGGGCAGGGGTCCCCTTAGAGTTAGGAATGAGGTGCCTACCTTTGGTGGGCATGTTATATGCAGGACCAAATTCTCAGTGGGAAATAGGACTGTGGTGTGGCCATAGGTCTGGCTCTACAATGCTAGACTGGACAGTGAGAAGGGAGATTTGGGCTCTGGCCCTGGCACTACCCTAAGTTGGGAAGGAATAGAGAGTTCGTAGCCCATCACAGTTCTTTCCCAAGAGTCTCTGGACATTTTTATTCATCTGTTTGTCAACTATGTGCCAGGCACCATCTTAGGCACCGAGAATGAAGGAAGCCGAGTGGTACAAGGGAAAGAGAAACACTCTAGGATCTTGACCAAATAGTTTCCTTTCTAAAGGCTCATTTTTTTCAATTCTCTAAAGTAGGAATTACAATGCCTGTCTTAAGGATCTGCTGTATATATCAGAAATGTGCATATCAAGTGCACCTGGCACATAGTACTCAAGTGATGATTATTGGGAGGGAGTGGAGAGTGCTCACAATGGCCTTCCTGGCTCCACCCCCCATCTAACTCTGCCTTTCCTTTCAGACACTCACCCACGGCAATGCAGTTTGCACTCGCACTTATGAGAAGGAGGCATGACCTGCCTGCGCCATCACTGACTGCTTCTCTGCCAATCAGCTACCCCTTGACTCAGCACCACACTGCCTCATATTTTCCTCTACATTTTGTATAAATCCACCTTGGCTGGGGAACTCTTCTGGGGTCAACTGCTTCTGGCCTGGATCCAGTTCCAGTTCTCATTGTGTATGTGGTTTGTTGTTGTTTTTTTTTTTTTAACTGCATTCGAAGGTGCTTTGAGGTCAATAAAGCAGAGCCAAGGCCACCCAGCTGCCTTTTTGCCTTTGGTGACATAACTCTGGGAGTCTTGGTTCCTCCTTTATTTCAGACAGTAGATAGAAATGACTGCCTGAAGGTCACTCAGGAAGAAGCACTGGATTAGAGACTGGAATGGACAGTCTCAGGGACTGGTAATCCGCCAATCATCTTTAACACTGAAAAATAAAACAGCTACCTGCACCTTGCCTTTAGCCTACACCTTGCCTTTATGCTGCCCCCTCCCCATGGTCAAATGAGCTAGTTCAGTCAGTGGTGGTGCTTCCCCAGACTTGGCTATCTTGTCACCTTAGGCCCATCCTGTACTGAATACTCTTGAGTCTGGCTCTTCTCTGTGAAATGCTGTGGTCTCTCCTTCTCCAGAATGCAGGTTCAGGACAGAAGACCCAGGCTTGTGCTGTGGTGGAAGAAGAAAATGACCACTAGCCAAGATGACTGCTAAGCTCCCACCTATGTACCCAGCCATTACTCATGGTTACAAATTCTTACTGCCTTTCTAATCAACTCTTGGGGAATAGGTCATTTGATCATTACAGAAGGGAGGGCTTATAAGTGATCTCCCAGGAAGGCTGTGACCTGCTAGTACCTCTGGCTCTGTGCCTCAGCTGAGCATCTCTCTGAGGTCTAAGGTAACATATTAAATGTGTGGTTTTTTTGTTTTGTTTTGTTTTTGAGTAGGAGTCTCACTCTGTCACCCAAGCTGGAGTGCAGTGGCATGCTCAACGCCACTGCAGCATCGACTTGCTAAGCTCAGGTAATCCTTCGATCTCAGCCTTCCAAGTAGCTGGAACCACAGGTGTGCACCACCATGCCCAGCTAATTTTTAAATATATTTTAGAGATGAGGTCTCACTATGTTGTCCAGGCTGGACTCAAACCCCTGGGCTCAGGCAATCTTTTTGCCTCCACCTCCCAAAGTGCTAAGATTATAGGCATGAGCCACTGTACCCAGCCATGTGTTTTTTGTTTGGTTTTTTTTTTTTTTTTTGTCAACTAATGCAGGCTCAGTAACTGTAAGTTACCCAACAAGAAGAATTATAGGAAAATAACTTTCAGTATGTTGTTTAAAAACAAACACACTTCCATTTAGTGCCTGGAATTTAAGCAGGGACCTGAAGTGAAATCAACTGACTCACAAAGTAGTAAATAAGTAAATAAAAAGTAGCTATCTGGTTCAGTGATCTGCTGGAATGTCATACACAAGCTAAGTCACACTGCAAATGATCATTTTCTGGCTGTGGCCACTGCAAATGATCATTTTCTGGCTGTGGCCATTGGCTGTCACTTTTAGCATAGTAGAGCCACGTTAGGAGGAATGGAAAAAACACTACTTCTTACCATGTTCTCCCTCCTGCTGCCAGTCTCCCTCTGCCCCCATTTTGGGTACAGCAGAGATTGCCCACTAATCGGCCCAGGACAGACCAACAGGAAGGGGCCAATCTATTCTCCAACTATAGCCAGACTCACCTCCACAACAGTCCCTGTGGCTCTAGCCTGGACTCCTGTATAGGAATCTGGCTCTGGCAGTGGCAGCTGGAGAGAATAATAGGACTTCCTGCTGAATAAAGGAAGTTGGGTGAACGAATGGATGAGCTACAGGGGTCACTTGCAAAGGGGTCAGGAGTGATAAGAAAACAACTCATTCAGGCAGCTTTTGAACTCTAACTTCCAAACCTGCCTGTTGCATAAGGAGAAGCCATCTCCCATGGGAGCAAAGTAATGGGGTGGGAGGTCATATTCTCCCTATTAAGTCGTTCCAGAAACCAAGACTTCAAGGCACAAGGTTCCTGGTTCCCTACTCTCAACCACCCCCTCCACTCCTTCTACTCTCACTCCTTATGCTTCTTCTTGTGCTTCTTCTTCTTTTTCTTCTTCTTTGCTGCCTTGCTGTCTTTTGATGCATGCCTTGCTCTCTTGCCTGTATCACTTTCAGAGTCTGAGCTGTCAGAGTCAGATGACTTCTTGTCTCTATGTTTCTTTTTCTTCTTTTCCTGGAAAGAAAATTTAAAAACTCAATACAGTGTGTGTATTCCTGCTTTACAAATCCATGGCACATAATCAACGGGGGACCAATTGTAAATTGTTAAGACATTAAAAACAATAATTCAGCCAGGCTCGGGGGCTCAGCCTGTAATCCCACACCTTTGGGAGGCTGAGGTGAGTGGATTGCCTGAGCCCGCGGGTTTGAGACCTGCCTGGGCAACTTGGCGAGACCTCATCTCTACAATAAATCAAAAATTAGCCGGGCGTGGTAGCGTGTGCCTGTAGTTCCAGCTACTTGGAAGGCTGAGGTGGAAGGATCGCCCGAGCCCAGCAGGTCAAGGCTGCGGTGGCCGGGAGCAGCCACTGCACTCCAGTCTGGGCGACAGAGTGAGACTCCAACTCAAAAAATAAAAATAAAAACAATAAATCTTTAAGTATCAATAAGAAAAGAATAAGGCTGGGTGCTGTGGCTCAAGGCTGTAATCCCAGCCCTTTGGGAGGCCAAAGGGAGAGGACTGCCTGAGCCCAGGGGGAGAGACCAGCCTGGGCAACTTGGCGAGACCTGATTTTGGAGGCCTTCACAGGAGGTAAGGGCAGGCACAGAGCAGGTTGCCAGAACTCCTTCCCTATACGACCAGACCAGTTCGACTTTTTTCTGTTTTAGAAATGTATGCTGACTGGGCGTGGTGGCTCAGCCTGTAATCTCGACCTTTGGGAGGCTGAGGTGAGTGAATTGCCTGAGCCCGTGGGTTCGAGACCCCAGGCAACTTGGCGAGACTTCATCTCTACAATAAATCAAAAAATTAGCCTGGCGTGGTAGTGCGTGCCTGATTTCCAGCTACTTGGAAGGCTGAGGCGGAAGGATCACCCGAGTCCAACAGGTTGAGGCTGCAGTGGCCGTGAGCGTGCCACTGCACTCCAATCTGGGTGACAGAGTGAAACCCCAACTCAAAAAAAAAAAGAGAGAGAGAAAGAAAAGAAAAACCAAAATATGTTGGGATTCCAATGTGTGTAACATACATATGTACATTTATATATACATGTACCTCATATAATGTATATATATTTACACATACTTGTATATATTTACTATACACAGAAAATTGAGAAAAACATATGAAATTGGTAATAAGTATTACTACACCTTGGGAACAAACTGAATGTGAGAAGATATGGGTCTTTTACTTTTCTTTTATATAATTCTCCTCCAGTTTGATTTTCTTTTAAAAATAAGCATCTATTAGCCAAGTGTGGTGGTGTACACCTATAGTTCCAGCTACTTGGAAGGCTGAGGTGAAAGGATCATCTGAGCCCAGAAGGTAGAGGCTGCAGTAGCTGTGAGCATGTCACTGCACTCCAGCCTGGGTGACAGAGTGAGATTCCAACTCAAAAAACAAAACAAAACAAAAGGCATCTATAACTTTCATTTTTGTTTTGTTTGTTTTTTTTTTGAGTTGGAGTCTTACTCTGTTGCCCAGACTGGAGTGCAGTGGCCGCTCTCACTGCAGCCTTGACCTGCTGGACTCTAGCGATCCTTCCATCTCAGCCTTCCAAGTAGCCATAATTACAGGCACGTGCTACCACGCTCGGCTGATTTTTTGATTTATTGTAGAGATGAGGTCTTGCCAAGTTGCCTAGGCGGGTCGCGAAAACTTTCATTTTTAAAAGTGCAGGATATTAAGGCTGAAAGGGGTTCCTAGAAATTACCTAGTCTATCTTGAGACAGTGACTCACATATCCAAAGGTCAAAGAATAAGAGAGAGTAAGATTTAGGACTTCTGACTCCCATTGTGGTCTCCATTAGACCCTGTGGCCATCAAACAGTGAGCCTCTACCTGCTACCTCTGAATATGTCATTTCTAACCTTCACCACAACCTATTTATACTGATAAATAACAAAGCTCAGAAAGAACTTTCCCAAAACTCTACTCACCACACCATGCTCATACAAGGACAGGAGACACAAACCTCTTCCTTGAATTTCATATATATATATATATATATATATATATATATATTTTTTTTTTTTTTTGGTAGGAATCTTACTCTGTTGCCCAGGCTAGAGTGCAGTGGCATGTTCACAGCCTCTGCAGCCTTGACCTCCTGGGCTTAGGTGATCCTTCCACCTCAGCCTTCCAAGTAGCTGGAACTATAGCATGCACCACCATGCCTGGTTAATTTTTTTTTGAGTTGGAGTCTCACTTTGTTGTCCAGGCTGGAGTGCAGTGGCACACTCACAGCCACCACAGCCTCAACCTGCTGGGCTCAAGTGATCCTTCCGCCTCAGCCTTCCAAGTAGCTGGAACTACAGGCATGTGCCACCATGCCCAGCTAATTTTTTGATCTATTGGAGAAACCAGGTCTCACCAATTTGCCCAGGCTGGTCTCAAATCGCTGGGCTCAGGCAATCCTCTCACCTCTGCTTCCCAAAGTGCTGGAATTACAGGTGTGAGCCACTGTGCCTAGCCACAGAAGCTCTTTTTGCAGCTTGAGCAAAGACAGTCCAATCCTTCAGCAGGTGACATCATTTTCACTGTGACTCTAGCCCTGAGCTATAGAACAAAAGATCACATCACAAGTCACAGTTCCAGAAGAGAAAGCTGGAATTTGGGGTGGGGAAGACAGAGCCAGAAAGTGAATGTAGCGTCTGCTTCCTCAACTGCGTTCAAGTGAGAAAGGAAATAGAAGATAAAGGGTAAAAAAAATGAGCCAGATTGTGAGCCCACGGCCGACAGGCCAAGAGGGGCAATGGAATGAAGCCATTGCTCAATGTCTCTAAAACTGCTCTCGAGGAAAAGCACATACCCACTGCTAAAGTAGCTAGTTTACTTATTTTCTCTGTAGTTCTGAAACAGGATAGCAGCAGCCCAGTGTGACAGAAAAACAAAAACAAGGCAAAAACCAAGAAAGGGGAATAATAGCAGTAAATATTTGTTAATTTTCTAGATGCTAGGTTGGGTACTTTGCACACATATCTCATCTAACCTTCACAACAAATCTATAGAATGGGCATATTTGTCCCTATCTTATCAGAAAATTAAAACCTCAGAGAGACCGACTGAAGTGAAGTGACTTGCTCAAGTGGTGGAAACCGGATTTGACTCAGGCTGGGTCCCAAAGGAGATGTTCTTCTAGAACTGCCTATATTAAAGGCAGCACCTAACTTAACACTTCCCAATCAAAAGGCACTGATATGGCCAGAAATCAATCAATCAAATAAAGCAAACAAACTTGAGAAACAACTGATTCTCAAGAGATGATTTGATTTTCAAACTAATTCTCTAAGATAAACTTTTGAGAAGTTGAGAAGTAGGATAGAGTGATTCCTGGCTAGAACTTACCTATGGTACCAGTTTACCATAGGTTGGAAAGAAAAGGTAGTATCATAGGAAAAAGGCTTATCAATCAACTCACAAATATTTAACTGAAACTTACTACCTACAAAGCACTTTAGAGAGCCACAGTTATATACAGTATTGCTTAGGAGATAAAGATGCTTAATATAATTCTGACAAGGGTACCTACCTGCACAATGAACATTTGTAAACCTAACCCTGAATTCATATCTTTAAAATAAAAAAATTTAATATATATATGTGTATATATATAATTCTGACAAATAGAGAATACCTACTAGTGCTGAGCAATATGCAGATGCCCAGGAGGATGCAAAGTAAACACACTCAGCAGTGGAGCCTGGCACCATTCTTTCCAAACTTGAGCCAACCTCATATTAAGCAAAGGAAAGAATAACTCCTTGTAAACAACATCCATTCAACAAATATTTACTGAGTAACTTCTAAGAGTCAGAAATATCCATTAATTAATTTGTCTTTTGCAATAATAGTTGAATGAGGTCAGAAATCAGAGACCATGAGCTTTCAAGGAATAAAGTGTCTAGTCAGAGATAAAGACTAATTAAGACACTAGGTAGTCCATGGTAAGTGATTTTGTTTGTTTGTTTCATTGTTGTTTTTTTTAGTTGGGAGTCTCACTCTGTCACCCGGGCTGGAGTGCAGTGGCGCATTCACGGCCACTGCAGCCTCGACCTGCTGGGCTCATGTGATTCTTCCGCCTCAGACTTCCAAGTAGCCAAAACTACAGCCACGTGCCACCATGCCCAGCTAATTTTATTCTTTTTGATTTATTGTAGAGATGAGGTCTCATCAAATTGCCCAGGCTGATCTCGAACCTGTGGGCTCAGACAATTCTCTTACCTCAGCCTCTCAAAGTGCTGGGATTATAGGCATGAGCCACTGTGCCTGGCCTAAGTGATGTTAAGAAAAGAACAAAAAATATGCCATGACGCACAAGGGAAATACGTCCAATGGCTTCATGGAGGGTACATTGTATAATGTGTTGTGCTTTGAAGCATGAATATGGTTTTGGCAGGTGGAGTGGTGGTGCTCATGGAAGAAGGTAAGTGAGGGCCTTTAAGCTAGAAGACAGGATGAGGCAAATGCATGAAAGATATATATATGCATATTTTTTTAGTTGGACTCTCACTCTGTTGCCCAGACTGGAGTGCAGTGGCATACTCCCGGCCACCGCAGCCTCGACCTGCTGGGCTCTGGCGATCCTTCCGCCTCAGCCTTCCAAGTAGCTGGAACTACAGGCACGCGCTACCATGCCAGGCTAATTTTTGATTTATATTGTAGAGACTAGGTCTCGCCAAGTTGTCCAGGTGGGTCTCGAACCCATGGGCTCAGGCAATCTACTCGCCTTGGCCTCCCAAAGTGCTGGGATTACAGGCTGAGCCACTAAGCCCAGCCATGAAAGATCTTTAATGAAATGACTCTGACAAATTATTCTGTGTGGATTATTTACTATGCAATAGATTCCATCATTTCTCTCCTATTCAAAGACAGCAGACCACCCTCTCTTGTATCAATTTTTCCCTCTTTACTGGCTCATTCTCAACAATAAATATGCTATAATAGTTTCCACTAGGAAAAAAAACCCTCAACCCTCCTGAACAATTGTCATCAGGTTGTCACCCCATCACTCT